AACGAAGGATCGCAGGATCGCAGGATCACACGTGGTTGTGTCAAGTCCACGGGCGATAGGATGATAAGAAGCAGTAACTGAGAGTCTAGAATGGCACCATCATCTCAAAACGAACTAGTAGTATTCAGCCGGTCCCGGCCGGGCGACCGACCGACCGACCGACCGACCGGTCGAGCGTAATCTTCAGACCCTGGACGGGTAAATCGAAAAAACAAAAAAGGGAAAATTAAAGTGATGACCTGACTCTGACTCCCTTCCGTTCGGAGTCGGAGGGATGTTCTGTCCGTCCGTGTCCTTGTCCTTGGTATGCATAATGTAGACTCAAAATTATAACCAACTAACTATGTAGCGATCGTATTTGTCATGCGGGTTTATGACCCCTCCGTGGCGTTAACAAGAATTAATAAACGATGAGAACTTTACTTTACGCATTAGGCGTCCAACTGATAAGTAACCTGTATGAAGTAGTCGGTTAGACCATCAAAATTACTCATGACTATCCAGAAGGATTCATTAGTTAGTTAGTTATTGTGTCCCTGGTAGAGTGAGTCATGAGGCCCCCATCCCGACCTCAATTCATTCATTGCCCAGCTTCAACAGGCAAGGCATCCAGCCAGCTCTTACCACCAATCAACAAGCCTCTTCTTCTTCTCCTCCCAGATATTGAGAATAAATTACTGTACGGAAAACCACAGGGGGAGGAAGGAACCGGATTTCACCGATTTTCAGCTTGTCCGACTCCGTATCTGCATACTACACTACTGCCAATGTTTTTATTTTATTTTTATTCTATTTTCTCTTGAGCCTCCTGGTGTCACTCATGCATGACGAATCCCACGCCCTAACCAATGCAATGCTGGCAGGTGAGGTGAGGAAGGGGGGGAGAGGGGGGGAAAAGGCCCAATCCTAGTAGCTCGGCCAGATGTCTTTCAGCCTATACGAGATACATTTCCCTTTCCCCTCACCCCTCACTCCACCCACCGAGTCAGGTCCCTTCGACTGCGTCTCGTCAAGTCGAGATTGGTTTCTCTCCCTTCGGAAATCCCTGGCGCCGGGCTTTGATGTCTTCTGTTGCCCACCCCTCGTGCAACTTTAGCCTGGTGTGTCTGGGGTCGCTACTGCTGGTGCTGCTGCAACGCTAAGGATTGGAGTGGAGTGAAGTGGACTGGATTGGGTTTAATCCTGGCCCTAGTCCTGGTCATTCTGAGCCTCCTCCTCCTCCTCATCCACCATGACTTTAGGAATGGGTGAGTGATGAACGAGATACATAGACTTTGCCGCAGTTGGTGATAAACGCCCTTGAATGGTGCCAGCGAAACATTCCCTCCGTTTCTGAATGTTGTACAAAATGAAGAAATTAAACTTGGGGGGAATAAAAAGTACGCATACGCCATCCACGGGAAGGATAGTATACATCACATCACATTCAAATACTAGATTTGTAATCGATGGAAAAGTAACGTCTTCTTTTTTTGGGACTCCGAGACAGAGCCAGCCTTGTGTGTATGTGTGGCTGCAGCAGACTCGTATATTTGAGCCTTGTTCAACTTTACTATCTATCTAACGTCTGCCACGCTGTCTTGTCGGGCATGGTCTAGTTCTACCTAAGGCGTGCAGCGGAACAAAACGTAGATTTTAGGAATTAGATTCAGATTTGGATTTTCCGCGGCTGTAACAGTATCACTCACTCACTCACTGTTGCATTCATTTCCTTTTTTTTTTTTTTTGGATTTTCTGCTATCGCCACTCGTATATATATATGTGCGGTATACAAACAAAGAATGGAGGAAATGAGAGAGTGTGTGTCCTGACCATACAGCTTTGCTTCCGGGCAATTACCGGATGTTTCGGTTGCAAGCCAGCCAGCCGCATCTTAACTCCCAAAGGCGGGTGGTTACTGGAACCGGCACATCATGTGGACTACTTACTGACTTGCATGGCAAATAAGAACTGAATTCCGGTTGGGATATTTACTTGACGCTAGGGTCTATACTTGACAGACTGATTGACATCTCTGAAGTGATTGATTTGATCGGGGTTGTCCGATGCAAGAAGTATGTGGTATATGTGTGTATGTATGTCTGTAGCGACTGCTTGTTGGTAGTAGCCTTGCGGCGACGGATTTCTTTTCAATATTTTTAGATAGTGATATTCGTTCATTCGGAGTAACATGGTATATAAGTAATTTACCCTGCAGAAGCCAAGGAAATCAGATATCTTGGTACAAAGTATAAAGTCCCGTATACGGAGATGGGCGGGCCGCTATGTCAAAGGCTTAAAATGATCAAAGTACTTACTTACAGTCACATGTATACTAATTAATTAGTAAAGTTATTAAGATTGATTGATAATCCAACGCAGCTAATAACGGTCTATCTGGAAGTAGAAATCGAGATGCAAGTATTTGCGTCTACTCGTTTAATCTCTCCTCCAAAGGTACTCACCCCCTCGATCTAAATACGTACGTAGTAAACAGTCACCGGAATCAAGACAAAGACACAAAATCTACCGCAAGCGGGTCAAGTCAAATCGATCGATCGAGAGAGAAAGGAAGAAAGACGCCATCCCTCACAGCCAGTCATTCAAGCACACTACTATTACAGTAACCCTGTAGGACAAGTACCACGTCATGCCGGGAGCTGTGGAGGCGCAGCAGCACACATGTTCGTAACTTTCTCTCCCTTCTTGTTCATCTTCTTGCGAGAGCGAGGCAGCAAAAGCAGAGCCCCACTAAGTACATTCTTAGAAAGAAAAGAAGCACAATATATCTTATTTTATTTTTCTCATGTTACTAACCCACTAAGGAAGGCAGAGCGACGTGCCGGTCGGGCCATGATCGATCTCCCGCCCATTCCAGTCCAGCCTTTTCCAATCTTTCCCACTCTTTCCCCTTCCCTTCCCGCCCATCGTTCGTTCATGAGTTTACTATCTCCATAATTACTTAGTTGGTGATTGATTTACGGGGCAGCCGGGCAGCGAACGGCACACTCACCTACCAAAAAGGAAAAGGTAAAAGGACAGCGGGTTGGCCGGAAGCGGGTTCGACGGGCACGCCGCGTTGTCGCAGGGACAGGGTTCTGGCCCTGGCGTTTTTGGGGGGAGGGAGGGAAGTGCAGCACACCTTAGCGGACCCAATCATAGTAATTAGTTAGTTAACTACTGAGTACTCCCTTCCCCTAGTTAATAAGTAAGTACGTACTTACTTACCGACTCGTTCTCGCGTATGTACTTCGTTAGCTAGCTAGACTAACTTACTTTTGTTTTTCTTTTTCTTTTAGCTTTTTACCAGCTGAATTAAACTGACACTGACCTCAAGACAGATAGACAGACAAACAAGGGAGGCCCAGAATTTAGCACATAGCAAGCACATGGTAACACAGAAAACCAAGATACTACGTAGGACGTGCCTCTATCTCCTAATGCCTAAGTCCGATCTCCGAGCGGATAACTCCGGTTTGGTTTGGGGGTTTTTGGGTTTCACTTCGTTTTAATGCTTGTTTGTTCAACCTACTTACCTCATACCCTTCTCTCCTCAGTTCCTCTCCATACAATCTAGAATGCTTACTTTCCCTTCATGGAAGAAAACCGTAGGTAGTAGTGGCTTTCTGGAAATCCAAAAAGAAGAGTGAGACACAGACCCAGTCCAAGCTGGGGGGCCCAGTCTAGGTAGCCATGGTTCCTGATTTAGTTAGTCTATTAGATAAGTAAAGTTGGTTTAGTTAGTTATGAGACAGGCGGGCGTATCGCCGGGAATTTTTGATCCTTCGTTTAGAGCAAGTTAGTTCAACTACTAAGTATGGATGGATGGGGCCCGCGGCCGCGCCGACGGGCGCGAACAATGAACAGAGCAAGAAAGAAAGAAGAGAGAGCCTTGCGATTTAAACTCAACACAGCTGCATGGTATAGAGTAGTAGTTAGGGTAGTAGTGAACTACTCATCTAGGTAATTACCATGCGAAATGGCCCCAAGGCTGTGTGCTATCTAGTAACTTTTAAGTCAAATAAACTGTTCATATGTAGGCTGTATGCACAATGAACAAATCTCGCAAATCCGCGACTAAACTAAGTAAGTACTGCGGCCCCCAAAACGGTGTGATTTGAATTGGTTGAGTTTCTAAGCCGAGGCATGATCCAATCGACTACCTTATCTGACTTGCTGTACATATTTGAGTTGTTTCAATTGCCGAGGATGTGGTAACTAACTTATTGAAGCTGTAATTTCTTTTCTTCGTCAAGTTTACAGGTAGATAGATAGACCAGATAGAGACGAGAGTGTGTGTATGCGCAACCGGACACGGAAATCCAAAACACCGCCGGGATCGACTCATACCCCGATTGCTAACTACCTGACTGAACCCAAGGTACACTAACTAGCTAGCAAGCTAGCAACAGTGGATGTGAAATCACGCTTGTTTGGTTCTGGTAAAACAAACTGGTGGAAAAAAACGAATTAATTGACCCATTTCGAGTAAACAGTGAGTTAGGCCACTAAACGTGCCTACTGGTTTAGTGTCAAGGGGCCAAGCGCAACCCCCTTCAATCCACTGGCCCCAGGGTTGCGCATACGAGCCGACCAATCAGCGAGCATAGCCATCGGCGGGAGGCGAAAGCCTCCCCGTCCACGGTCTGGGTTGGCAGTTACCCACTTTGGGACCGGAGACATGCGCGGGGATTTCGGGATGGGTGGAGTTGCCGACAAAAGTAACTTTTTGGGTCGCTGGCGGGCCTGAGACCTGACCTGACCTGGACTCGGCTCGATTCGACTCGACGAACTTCTGGATGGAGGATAGTAGGAGAGCATAGCAACACGGCTTGGTTCGAAGCCAGACTCGATTCAGAAAAGTATGGTAATCTATCTTTTGAAACACACGGACGGACGGATTGATCGTTCGGTAAGAAAAAAATAAAATAAAATAAATAGGAAAAGAAAAAGGAAATTGAACAATTGCTTTCCCAATAATAGCCAATTTCCCACACACGCATACACCTGTAGCCTTGGTTCCCCCTCCCCCCCACTCCCCCTCAATTTCATCATGAACGCCGCAAAAACATGCATCTATCGGCTTGCGCAAACCAAATAAACCTCAAAGCAATGCGCTGGACCCAGGGTGGGGTCCATTCTCGAGCGCAGTCCACAAAAGATATTCCTCTGGAAGGGAATAATAGGAAGAAGAAGAGAAAGGGGCTCACAAAGGGAATAAAAAGCATCGATCGCAAACAAAGAAAACATAGAAAAAGAATAAAAGTGAATCGTGCGGTTACATCCAACCGGGACTCGATAATACATCATAACTGTCATTAGAGGGGCGAGAGTGGGGTGAATCATGGGGTGAAAAAATAAAAATAATCAAGGAGAAAGAAATAAGAAGAAGAAAACGAAGTACCACCACCTAGCTTCCAGAAAGAAACAACATCAAATCAGAACAGCGGGTATGAGTTGGGGGAACACGGGTCCGACTTCGGTGTAAGAGGATAATGCAGTAAAGGCTCTGCTGGGGTGGAAGGGGAGGAATGATCATCGCTGTAGACTGAAGACAGAGGTGGCATCTGAAAGACGGTATTAGCTCCGCTAACCCTGGTACTTCTTGCACAGACCGGCATCACGTAGAGAGAGGGGCATGTACAGGAATGTTGTGCTCTGGAAGGTGTTGCGGCGTCGGGCCCAGATCAATGCCAGCCATGGATGCATAGCTCATACTGAAGGGGCTGACAATCTCGTCATCGGCGTACGAGTGGTGCTTCTTTGCGCCCGATCCGAGTATCGGACCAGGCAGGATCGAAGGCAGCGTTGTTCCGTACTCTCCATATGGGAGGTCATTGTAGTGGTTGTTGAGAGAGTGATAGGAAGGTGGCTGTCCGTACGAGTGGTGACCATAGGATTCCAAGTGGGAGTATGAGGGGTAAGAGAACACGGGAGGCGGCGAGGCTGAGAGCTGTCGGGTGCATTGCTGGGAAAACATCGATGATCCGCGATCTTCCTGGGTGGAGTGGCTGTCATAGGAAGAGCCTCGTTGCGCGGAGGTGTGACGGTTTGCATCTGAGCTAGACTTGGTTGTGCGAGCCTGTTTGGTGCGGGACTTGACAGTGTGCACCACGGCCTTCGGCGACTCCGAGCCCTCGTGTGACCGTTCTGGAGATGTCGAAGCAGTTGCGGCTCTCTTCTCCAAGTCTTCGAGGCGACGCTTTAGCTTCTTGCCTGGATTGTCGCATTCAGTGAGCTTCGAGTCGCAGCATAGCTAACCACCCTGCGGGGAAGATAACTTACGGTATTTTCTCTGAGCAATGCGATTCTGTATCCGGCGACGCTCTGCAAGGTCTGAGATCTTGGTCCAGTCCTCATTGGGGTTGGCATTGGGGCTGAACGCGCTGCTGGTTCCATGATTGGAGCTCCTCGAGCTCGAGGTTTGTTGGTATGAGTAATTGGAAGACCGATGCATCTTGGACTGAAGTATGGTAGAGGGAGATGATAGTATATATAGATCAAAGCTCTTGTTCACAAGAAGCAAAGATATACAAGTGGTAGTAGAAAGTGTTGAAAGCAGTTGGAATGATGATTGAAAGAAGATGAGAAGCCAGAGGGAGGATTTGGGATTGACTATATAGATATTGAATCCAAGTGAGAGTCACGAGTCAAGGATGATCAACATCTGAAACTCAAAAGAAAAGACACAGGATGGGTTCAGTATTTAAAACTAAGCCATGGGTCGATCAGCTGGAGAACAGGTCTGTAGCTTATGCCTGCTAAGCCCCGGGTCCGAATGAAAGCAGCCCGTCCGTGATGGTGGATTGAACCGTTGCGATAGCAGCGTTAGTCCGTGCTCCGAAGAATTTATTTTAATTGACATTTTCCTTTTTCGAAATGATTATTATGGGTAATAATTATTTTTATTTTTCTCAAACCCAAATAATATTATTAAATGAAGAAAAGAAAAAGGAAAAAAGAAATAATCAAATTGGGAATGGCTGGAGACTTGCAGGGTATGCATGGCTTGACCATGTGTTGGTAGGGAACTTTTCCCGAATGGATTGGCGGATGTGCAGGGCTGCGTCACTAATGCCCGGTATGGTTTAGAGGGAATCCTAGGGAAGGGGATGAGGGGGAGGAGAAGGCGTGAGGCTGTTTTGGCGGACCCCGATGACCGATATGGCCGAGAGTGCGAGAAACGAGAGAGTGGGAGGGGGGCGCGGCCACGGAGGGTTAAACAGGATCCATGATATCAGGCAGTGCTAGACCAAGCCAGCCAGCCTCCCCCCTCTCCCCTCCCGGTTGGTCCACCAATCTCGACGACCATGTGGTTCCATATCGATCTTCCAGAGATAGTAAGTAACAGCTACCAGACAGGCCCGAATGCCTGCCTGAGAATAGGAACATTTTTCCCTCTATGGAGTATACAGCAGCCCGCTTTGTAACAGCCGTCAAATATACAGAACGAATTGCATTAGTACGACTACAATTGTCTACCAACTAGGCTCTGCGTAGTCTCTCCCCCATCCTGCAGCATTCTCCCGAGATTCTACGGTCGTATATTCCCTGTCAAATTATGCAGTGCCGAGAGGAGCTGAATTCTGTCGGCCCAGGATTCGAAACGAATGCAACAACGGGCCCTTTCCGGACTAGTTGGATAGTGTGTCTTAAAAAGAAAAGCCGTTCAATTGAGCCAACCGAGACGGTCAGTCGAAAAAGAAAAAGCCCCAAGAAGCTACTGCTGCTACTGCATGGCCATCCTTCCATTCCCACACCCACTCACCCCCTTGATGATAAGTCAACCTCGCATGTTGAGTGATTGAGTGTGTGGGTGTGGGGGAGAATGGGCCCAGCATGGCGGGCTCCTAATCTAGCTACTAGCTTTTCCAACTTCAGTAAATAGAAATAGGCTTGGAGATTTGTCCTACTGATGGACGGCCTAAGGGCGCAGTGTCGAACCGAGTGATCCAATTACATTCGTTCCCTAGGCTTTGAAACGAGCGGAAAGTGAGTGTGTGTGTGAGTGTGTGAGTGTGCGTGGCTTAAGCAGGATGTTTGTTGGACTTGACTTGGATGGTGTCTGCCAGGAGGGGGCTGAAAATGAAAAGCGCGGCTTTTACAATCCAGTGGTATGTTGGGTGGCCTCGTATTAATACTGTATCGGTACGGGGTTACTGGGTAATTAATTAGTTGATTTGTTGGGTATGGTTACACAATCTTCTTCCCATCACACCATGTGAGGCAGGGTGATTGTCCAATAAATGAGAAATTTATATAATTGTCTTATGAATTTGAATAGCCTTCTTGTGCTTGATGAATGCGTTTCAATGATTATGTTGTTACTGTTTCAAGTGTCCCATGCCGACGATCCGCGGAGATACATACTTACATACATACATACTACTTCGTGTATGAAGGAGCGTTACTGTAGACCTCAGGCATTCAAATATCTCCCAGAATGAACCAACTAACTACTAGTACTAACCCATTAGCTAATGGTTCATCCTAGACCGGTAGCCCCCAAAGACCCATTTACCAGGATATAGTAACTAGGCACCTACTCCAATACTACCTACCATAGTAGTAGCACTACTACCACTGCGGCCTTTGTCTTTGTCTTTGTCGCTTAAATCCGACAGGGTTCGGGTGAACCATGGAAATAGAGGAATTTCCGCGCCTGTATCTAGGCACGTTTTAATCTCCATCGGCTAGGGTGATTGGTGGGCGATGTCACCATCCTCCATTAGCTAGTAGGGAAAACTAATCTACTAGTCAGATAGTAACCCATCCTTCAAATCAGATCATAATGCTCTCGTATTAACGACGTTTTTTGTGCAGATTACCGCTGGATTTCTCTCTCCTTCCTTCCCTCAAGCGGCATTCCTTCGAACCATGTCTTGGGCGAACCATATGCAGAAACGGGTCAATTTGGATGGAGCACGTGGTTGTTGCCGTATACTTTTTATTCAATGTAGTACGCAGTGCTCCGTGGTACTTTGCTCTACTAGTCATCTATCAGTGTCCGGTTACCTCTTTCGTATCGCCCGGCACGGCTCTGTTCGGCCTTAATCACTGCCGGGTCGTATTCTGCGTATCTATGAGTTACGCTGATTACGGGTGCTAGATGTGGTTACCTAACCACTGTGTCTAGTCGTTTACTAGTATAATAGTAATGAATGCAGTAGTTACTACATCGAGGAATCCTTTCGACATCCACACACACACAGCCCCAGGAATGCACACACAGACGCACAATTTCTTCAGCTCCTGAGTTTCAAGCATCATGTCCCGTCGTCTGCCTTCTTTGGCTCTTCGGTCTCTACTGACCTTACATGCTATGCAATGCATGATTCTCAAAATAGCCCCATCCAATCATGCCCGCGTGCGCCCGCTCGCGCTGATTTCCAAATCTGGATAACTGTCAGGTAATCATTGGAAAAGTGCCATTTGGGTGCCGACCATGAGGCACCGGCATCAGGCTACTAGTCTAGTAGTTACTGACTGACCACCTGCATCAAGTCTATCTGCAGGTTGAGGACAAACTGGGATTATGGGAAAGGGTGGTGCGTGTGTGTGTGTGTGAGTGTGAGTGTGCCTCGATTGACACGAGCAGCGCCCCTTCTAGTGCACGGTCTCGACTTCTGCCACGTTGCACCCCTCGATCTTGGCAGCACACTAAGGATAAAGATCTCACCTATTCCGAACGGGTGGTGGGAATGAGGGGAAAGGGAGGGGAGAGGGGAGAGAGAGAAAGACGGAAGGGGGACGGCGCTGCTCATCCACTTTCTTAGTTATTCTTCTTCTGAAAAGTCACATTCCTTTCCATTATAGGTAAGCCAATGCCTGTCGCTGATTTGTTGGCTGACTTGCTTCTGGACGGTGTGGTGTTTGTTTCATCTATCTTTGTCACCCATCATGTCCATGGGCCATACCTTGCCGATGCTTGGAAGTTGCAGTTGGATTGGGCGCAATGAGACATGGAGAAAGGAGAGAAACTCGCAGATCAGTTGATCACTTGATTTCCTACCTTCGATCCAGCACAGCCCGGGTTGCGGACAGTCCGGAGATGGGGAAGATAGCCTTGTTTCGGAGGCTGCCAATCTCCAGCCCCGAAGTTGACTTGACTCTCTGTTCCCGCAATGCAGCCTTTCGGTTGTTGAGTTAGTTCCGTTTGTGCTTTTTTCCTTTCTGTTTTATTTTTAACATTAAGGTTTCTTATTTTATCTTCCATTATCATCGAGTACCATAAGATGTCGTATTTCTGTTATCCGTTAGCGCTTCTAAGCATGACTTTGTAGATATGGTCTTATCGCGAAGTGGTCAGTACTCCTTACTTCCCATAATGGGGAAATTGATGGATGCATGCACAGTGCCCCGAGATTATTGCATTATCAAGGACACTGCTCGTACCTGGTGCTGGTGCATACAACATTCCAACCACTACTGCCAAGGAGGCATTTAGATAGGAGGCTATGTAGCTGCGGAAGAGAATCACAATTCGAAGAGCCCCGAATGTCAAGGCTCTTGCCAGATTCGGGGTGTAATCTAAGGACCAAAGACCCCTGCGTACTGTTAGTGGATGCCATTACAAATCAGATCGGCAACCCCCAAGAAATCCTGTGGGTACTAACCGGGAGGGGAACGACGGAGCGGGGACCAGCTGGATCCACTGGTAGACGAGCGGGCCAGTGACATTGCACAAAAGGCGAGAGGCTTTTCAGCCCCAAGGTGACATGCCTCCCTTGCAATTGGCTGTACGAATTAGTTACCGTATTTGGATATTGGGCCTTGGAGATGCCTTAAGCACTCTCCCATGTTTTACCTCCTATGAGGCTCAATCACTTGCATATTTCAGTCTGATTGACATACACTGCCTCAAAGCCAGGTATCAACGACTTCCCTCGTCTGCATCACCGTCCATGTGTAGGGCTGATGGCAGTTACGGTCCATGGTCCGTGGTTAATTGGTCCAACGCTGAATTCCCCCAGCCTGATTCAAGACCAGAGAGGTAGTGGATTGGCCTCCTAGTACGTCAAGCCTTCGATGAATCACACATCACATGTATTGCCCGGTCGGAATGTCTAGCTTCTGAAAGCGGCGAAGCATTTTTCCTTTACCCTGTCTCTAGTCTTCTCTGTGAGAGTCTGGGTCCGCATGTGTGCCCCCATCTGATACAAGAGAGCGCAACCCATGACTCTACCCGACTAGTACACATGTAACCATATCTCGTATGGGTGTGCCTGGCTATTCTGTCCTCTTTCGTCATCAGGCCTCGCGTGCCGAACCTGTGCACTAGAGACGGGCACCTAGCGTCATGATTGGTCCAGGATAGTGCTCGTATATTTCTGCATGCTGATGGCCTATGTATTACTACTGCATGAGGATGCATTTTTCGACAGGGATTTGGGGGAGCGCCTGCGGCGGCCAAGGGCCGTCAGACACTGAATCGAACCTTCTGGTACATATCTAGAAGCACTGGTCCTTGGCGGACGGCACAACTGGTTGGTATGTTTGCTTGCTCGGTCGTCTCACTGGCTGGCTTCTGCGGCATTCAAAAATATTAATAATACTCAAGAATGCAGTGTGCACCAGGCTTGCAGTAGTCTTGACCGTTAGCTCCAAGCCCGCAATATTTTCTTAGGTGCAGAGCTATTTCCTGAGAAGGGTTTAGTATATAGGGAAGGATACCGTATTATCGTTCCCAATGTATATTGAACAACTTGGACTGGAAATCTAGGTCGGAAGAGGTAGTTGGACGCTAAGTGGGAAATAAGTTAGCGTCAGGTCAGTCAATGAATCACGTTGGAGGACTATTCTGTAGTACTAGTAGCCTCTGGACTGTCAGTCTAGCCATGTCGGATAGACCGGCCAGTAATTTCCGCGCGCGCAACTTCATTCTCAGTGGCGTGAGTCACAATTGACAGGATGGCATGGTTTAATCTTGGCCGCCCCGCACGCCGCCAGGAATGGGAAGATGACGAAAACCCACTTGGACAAAGTACGGGGACTCCACGTGCAAAGGTCATGGCGTCTGACGGGAAGGGAGGGATGGTGCAATCCTTATCGGCCATGCTAAATTAATGCCAGCACGCCTCGTGGGAAAGAGACGGAGGCATTCAAGCGACGGCTCGATGCCCGGCCTGAGGAATCCTCAAGCTTTCAGGAACCTTGTCAGACTTTCATAGATCTGACGATCATTATAGTCACATTTTGTGCCCCTTCATAAGATTCAACGAGATGCCACTCAAAATCATAATATTAATGGTGTTTCGTAAGAAGGGGGGAAAAATAAGAAGGTTATTTCTTGATTAAACATGGCTGAAAGGCCGAAGATTGGCAACAATGCATCTCCTTTTTCCCCCCTTGGTGCTCCTCCACAATCACAACAATATATTGTTGGCCCCATTTCCGCAACAATTGATGCGTTGCTATCCTAACGTGGCGGCGACGTGAGGCCAACATTACCTAGTCTTCCGCCCCCTCAACCTAGCAGGGGACTAGTTTCAGAACGGAGCGACGGCAGAAATGGCCCCCATTTTCATATCTGCTGCTCCGTATCGCAATCTTTTCTCATAGGTGCCCATGCCCACAGACCCTTTACGCCAGTGCACGGTGTAATAAGCCGGGCACATCTGTGACAACCCGCTCGCTTACTGTTTGCGACCCATGCCACACCCTTCATGCTCGAAATGAGCACACCGGCGTGACTTGATGATTCAATGATCGACACACTGAGCTGATTGTGTGCTGAAAATAATATCGAGTGCATAGTTGCAACAGTGGCTTGTTGTCTTGCAGTCTTTGTCCGTTGGGAGAACATATCCCTAGTACTACCATGTGTTGATGAGAGTGACACCACTAAACGAGCGTACCAATCACCATCCGTAGATATCGCAAGGTAGTACTAGCCTTGGCCCATTAGTAGTCCACAAAGTGCATGGGGCATTGCTGCGGTTATCTAATATCCAGAGAGCTAGTTTTGGTCACAATAACGGTCAACAGTGAATATAGTACAGGTCTGTTCAACGATTTTGACCAGAGTTGGATTTTATGAACCTAATGCTGCAGATTACCGGTACAATGACAAAACCCCATGGGCGCTTGTTACTTCTGCATTTGCCCCGTTAGCTTGGAAATTCTAAGACGGACAAACAGAGCTGCGGTCTGTTTGATGTCGCCGTGGTAGCCAAACCACTGTAATGGACTGGGTGCCTAAGGTGGAAGCAATCCGCGTTTTGGCTGGTTGCAGGACTAGTGATGCAGAAGCCAGCACAGCAGAGCCTCATCCACGGTGCGTGCGTGTATAGCTGCGTGTGTTGTGTGTCTAGGAGTGTGTGTGCACAGCCAACTCGGGCGTCCGTATATCGCAAACGCCTTACCTTGCTTGGTAGTAAGTAAGTGCTAGTGGTAGTTAGTTGTCGGCCTGCCCGACGGGGTGGTAGTACAGGTATCGGTCCGTACCATGGACCAGGAGTGTCTGGAAGGCTCCGTAACGCCGTATTAGACTAGATGGGTAACTGGTAGTAATGACTTCCGAGTTCAATGACAGTATCGTCTATGGTTGGGGTGTGATTTCCAATCCTAGAATTAAGCATTAATAAGAGCCACGGGTAACCATGGCCGCCTAAGACTATCCGTTTGAGAAAATATTGAGAGAGCCATTAGAAATCTATTTCGTCAGTTGTCTCGGAGACGGTAAATGTGCTGTCCGAACTCCGCGGACTGTCCGGGACGGACATAGTTCTGCCGACCTCATTCCGGCAATCACCAATCAATTTAACAATCAATCAAATTATTTCTTGTACGAGTGTATTGGAGACTACTTGGTCCCGGTCAGTAGATTAATCAGAACCCTTGGGAGTCGAGTTACGTCAACTCCTTCGGACATCAGTTGTGTAGTGGTGGGCCAGGTCGATCTCTATCGAGCTGCTGCTAGCTAGGCAGGCAGCTGCCTTCCTTCGCACGGGTAATTGTGGAGGAAGAATTGATTGATGGGTTGATTGATTGCTGTCACCTCGTGGCAAAAGCTCGGGATTTACTGCGGCTCGACCAGCTCCGTGTTCAGAACACTAGTATGGAGTACTGATGGGGCTAATACCTCCTCATTTGCGCTTTGCAGGCCTTAGGCAGTGACGACAGGATCTAGTGAACATCTCGCCAAGACCATAATCCTGCTGCTTGGGCCAGCGTTGGAGCACATTGGTCGTGGAGGTGCCCCGTCTGTCGTTTCAGATTCTGTCGGCTTCATGGCCCACTCTCGAGCTAGCACACTGCCACACTGCTCGGTTGAACTAGATGTGTTTGCGAGGTCACGGCGATCAATATCTCTCGAATCTGTTGGTATGACGGGTATGGAGGGGTTCCACCACCCACTCGCATAGACTCCCACTACTGGCTGGAAGGCCATTGATGGAGCATTTGGTGAGAATCGAATCAATCCGTCTCGGAAAAGAAGGGACAGAGAGACTGACGGAACGGATCCTGCCGGCAGAGTAAGGCATAGTGGAACACGGGTCTATCACTATCACTACTACTAAGTACTCGATGATCCGCTCGCAAGTGATTGTTGCCTGGATGGGGTTCAGTAGCCTGAGGTTGATTGGTCTTTCTGGAAGTCGCCCGTAGCTGAGATCTCAATGCTATGAACTACTCCGCAGTTCATAGGGGTACACTGACTTCTGGAGAACTGAAATTATGGATGAACTGGTAGGTGTTGGATGACCCGTGTCCGGGCACTGCTTTCCTAGTAGATCGGGGCCGAAACCGGACAGCCACGCCCTACTGGCCTTCGTGACTGGGATCCCGTGGGCGTGCATCTACTCCATTGATGAGATATCCTATGATCAATGAGTCTGGCGAGGTACGCATCTGGCAGCTGTCGATCATCCTGTGTCGATTATTACAGCTCGACAGTATATTAGCAAGGATATTGTTGTGTAGCGATGCTATTTACAGAAACGGCTGGGCGTGCCAGCAAACCAAATTCACCCGAGTCACAGCCCATGTCCAACACAGCTACCCTTTGCACCTCACGAGGGGGTGAAACGCAACCAACTGAGACAGGGGACATGCCTCAGGCGTCCTGCAAGTAATCGCTCCAAGGCACGGCTGACTACGTCTGCCATGACCCATTATCTGCAGGCTCCTCGCGTGTATCGCCACCGTCCTTGGCCTTCGTTGCTGGACGAAAGTGTATGTCGTGCAGAAGGCCGCAGGATGATGTTTCCGTCTTGTCTAGGATTACCTGGCAGACTCCTTCAAGCCCGCCTCCTGAGAAGGCCAAAAAAAAAAAAAATTTGCCCTCCATTACTTGGGTACTCCAATCGCCATTAGGTCGCAAGATGCAAGGGAAAAACCCGCCTTTCTTTTGATGTGATGCTCGTGCTCGCCAAGAACAATCACCACTAAAATCGACGTATAGTAAGAAAAATTCCAACAAGACCAGCCATTTGATATCCATCTATCATCAAGATATACCAGAGATACCAGAGAAAATCTAGCAATGCAAGCTTAAAAGACCATTCCCGTATCTTAAGACTTTTCGCTAATTTAGAGGACATAGCTACTGGTCAGTTAGCAAGCTGAAACATCCATAGAGAAATAAGCAGACACTAGACTTACCTCCAAGGGTGACTCTCATCACCATACTGGATACCCTCGATCCAGTTCTTCATCTGAAGAGCAATTTCGCCTGCTTCCTCAGTTTCCTTCAGGCCGCAGTCGACCAGCTTACCCCGGTAGCTGATTGTCCGCACGGGACTGACAATAGCTGCGGTACCGGCACCGAACACCTCGATCATTCTGCCCTCCTCGGCCGCTTCGGCGACTTCGGACATCTTGAGCTTACGCTCGGAGATGTTCCATCCCTTGGGCACCAGCCTTTCCCTAGCCAGCCCCAGCACGGAGTCTCTGGTCACACCCTCGAGGATCGTTCCGTCCAGAGGCGCAGTGATCAGTTCCTTCTGGCCAGTTTCCTTGTTCTTCAAGGCAACGAAAAGGTTCATGGTGCCGACCTCGGTAATATATTCTTCCTCTCCAAAGAGCCACAGATTCTGCTGGAAGCCACGGGACGCCGCTTCCAGCTGAGGGAGAACGCAGGGGGCGTAATTGGCACCCAGCTTCTTGTCGCCAACACCACCAGGCCAGGCTCTGACAGCATAGTCGGTAGCCTCCAACGAAATGGCCTTGAAGCCAGTAGGGTAATACGGGCCAACCGGGCTTGCAATCACGAACAAAAGAGCAGAGCCCGGGGGTCCCACACCGAGGGTCTTTTGAGTTCCAATCATCGTGGGCCGCAAGTACAGTGAGTAGCCCCGCTCACTAATTATATAAACGTAAGTTGTTATCCTCAATCATCAATTGGTGTGCTTTTCACCAACCTTGGGATGAACCTGCTGTCCAACTTCACAAACTCTCCAATCAGCTTGGTGAGGGCCTCGCCATCAAAGGAAGGCAAAGCAATGCGCTTCGAGGATTTGTTCAAGCGCGCCATGTTCTTGTCGGGACGGAACAAGCGGATCTGACCAGACTCGTCTTTGTAGGCCTTCATACCCTCAAAACACTCGAACGCATAGTGGAAAACACAAGCCGACGGGTCGAGACTGAGGTTCTGGTACGGAACAATCTGGGGGGAGTGCCATCCCTCCGTCGCGGTCCATTCGATCGACAGCATATGATCTAAAATAGAATGCGCATTAGAAACTGGACACCGCCTGGAAGCGACACGTGCTCGTCATACCGGTGAAAGTCTTGCCAAAGACCAAGTCCTTCGGGGCAGTCAATTCCTTAGGAGTAGTCGTCTTCGAGACGGTAAGTTTCGAGGGGTCAAGGGGGGCTAGTTGGGAGGCAGCAGCTGAAGTAGCACTGAAGCATCTCTTCCATAACTGAGCCGTTGCGGGAGATTGAAAGGCGCGCGGTGCGACGAGGCTTTGCAACGCCCTGCGACGAGCGAATTGAAATGACTTCATAATTGCTTGCCGGCTTTAAATAACAATCCAGGCGATAATAACTCCAGAAAGAAAGAACAAGAATCCCAGAATATGGAGAGTAAAAGCAGCGCAGGAGAAGAACCACGACAGGAAACGAACCAGAATAATGCACCGAATGGACCGAGGGCGGGCTGTGGAGCTTAAAAAGGCGGATAAGAACGGTAGTCTATGACTCTTGCCCACGGACTACGGCACCAACTCCGAGATTAAGGTCTGACAAGGCCGATTTGGGTTCAATCATGGAGACCACACTAAGCGAACCTTTGAACCTGGGCGTCCCGCCAGTACGTAAATAGTATCTACATGAGCAATTGTACTGGCTATATTGCAAACTCTCCAACCAATCGATGGACTGGTAAATCAGTGACCCCAGAATGATCCCTCTCTGGTCAGTCTCCGTTGGTGAGTCCGACGTCGGCGAGGAGAGTTGCCGGCAGTAAATCCGCGATCCAGCCAGGCGGTGAGTCTGGGGAAAGACCCTCCCTTCCCGTTCTCGTTCCTCATTGGCGAAGGAGCGTCCCTTGCACGTGATTCTCTCCGACCGGGCAGATTAGCAGCGGCCAACTGATACCTGAAAGCTATCGGAGGGGAGAGAGAGATCATATTAATTACACTTAAGAAAGCAGAGGCCGGGCAATGTATGATAGCGAAGAAACCGTTCGCCTCGTTTACGCTTGAGGAGGCCCCAGTTTAACATTGTCAGCTTCGCGTCCCCTCTTCCTCTTTCGGTTCATTTTATATAATACTATTCTTGTAATATTTGTTCCCCTATCTTCGGTGTCCCTGTCCTTCCACCCTGTCTGGCGGGATTGCATTGCATACTTCCAGTGTTACGACAATTCCACTTGATGCATTGAGCCCATTGCGGCGGAACTTCCCTTCTTTCTCTCAGCTTTGTTGTGTCTTCTGTGGTGAGAAGTGAAACAAACAAAAATGTTTTCGTCTGCGCTCAAATCCCTGAGCTCTAACATATCGTCCAACTACCACATCTCTCCACACCCCACCGTGGTCTCCGGTCCTTGGAAAATCCATGATGGGAAGAAGAAATCTACCGGAACCACAGCGTCAATCTTTATATTTGACAAGAAGGTTCTCGAACCAAGATCAAGTGGACTTGGTAGTCGTTCCAGCTCTTCAACCAAAAAGCTGCAAGAAGATGTTGTTGAACGCCTGAAGCGGGAAGCGAGCAACCTTGCGCGGCTCCGGCATCCGTCTGTCCTTCAAGTGCTGGAGCCTGTCGAAGAGACTCGGAACGGCGGACTCATGTTTGCTACAGAGCAGATTACCGCATCTCTTGCAGGACTACTGCAGACAAAAGATGCGCAGGAGAACACTTCGAGGATCGGCTCGAGGTCCAGCCGTTACATGGTGGAAGAGCCCGACGGCACGCGCAGGCGAAGAGACCTCGAGATCGACGAACTAGAGATCCAAAAGGGCTTATTGCAAGTTGCCAAAGGTCTCGAATTCCTCCACGAGTCTGCCGGGCTTGTCCACGGCAATTTGAACCCCGAAGCCATCTACATCAATGCCAAATCGGATTGGAAAATCTCTGGCCTTGGATTTGCCGGCCCCGCGAGCTCTACTGAGTCGCGTTCTACTCTCCCACCTTTGGCTCTATCAGAAGTTCTCTACCAAGACCCACGCCTGCCTCAATCTGTGCAATTGAATCTGGACTATACTTCGCCCGATTTCGTCCTCGATACCAACGTCACTCCTGCAGCGGATTTGTTTTCACTCGGTCTTATTATAGTGGCGCTTTATAACTCACCCCATGTTTCCCCTCTACAGACGCATTCCAACGTGAATACGTACAAAAAACTTCTCAGCTCTCCATCCAGCACTCCCTCCCAAGGCAATAACTTCTTATCTTCGGGCCCGATTCCAAAGGACGTCCTTTCTCACGTTTTACCCAGGCTGATAACGAGAAGGCCTGCTCAGCGTCTAAATGCACGCGAGTTTCAACAATCTCAGTACTTCGATAATATTCTGGTCTCGACCATTCGCTTTCTGGAGTCTCTACCTGCGAAAAATGCCAACGAAAAGTCGCAGTTCATGCGCGGGCTTCAACGGGTCCTGCCAGAGTTCCCAGCCTCCGTGCTAGACAGAAAGGTTTTGGGCGCCTTACTGGAGGAGCTGAAGGATCGTGAGCTTTTGCCTCTTATTTTGAGCAATGTGTTTGCAATCTTGCAGCGCATTCCCAATGCACGCCGCGCGTTCCCGGAGCGAGTGATACCTCAGCTCAAAGAGGCTTTCCCGACAGGGAAAGGTGCTGTCCAAGACCGCGACTCTAAAAGAGATGCGGGTCTTTTGGTCGTCCTAGAAAATATGCACGTCGTGGCAGATAATTGTTCTGGAAAGGAGTTCAAAGAAGGTCGGTAGAATCGAAGATGCGCGAATGAGCCATAACTAACCTTAGCAGACATCTTGCCTCTGATTCGTCTGGGACTCGATTCACCCACACACACCCTGGCAGATGGTGCAATCAAGTGCTTACCGGTTATTCTCCCGGTCCTTGACTTTAGCACTGTCAAAAACGAAGTTTTCCCGCCTATAGCTTCGACTTTTAGTCGGACTAACAGTCTTGCCATCAAAGTGCGTTGTCTGGAAGCGTTCGCTGTTCTTTGTGGCGGCTCCATGGGAGGCAAGGAGGCAATTGGAGATGATCTATCGGGCGTAAGCCAAACAAGCAAGTCGCAGTCCATGAAGTCATCCATCTTAGACAAGTACACGATACAAGAAAAGCTTGTCCCGTCATTGAAAGCCATCAAAACCAAGGAACCAGCTGTCATGATGGCTGCTTTGTCTGTCTTCCGCCAAATCAAAACAGTGGCGGACACCGACTTTCTTGCTCTGGAAGTCCTCCCGGTTCTCTGGAGCTTCAGTCTCGGACCCCTCCTTGACCTGCGTCAATTTGGGGAATTTATGACTCTAATCAAAGATATCTCCTCGAAGATCGAAAAGGAGCAAACAAAAAAGCTCCAGGAGCTTTCGTCCGGAGGAGATACTGGAGGGTTCCAGAACGGCACTGGGTCTTCTTCAGCAGCCTCAATCTCGACGGGGCAGTCTAACATGGACAACACGAGAGACAACTTTGAGCGTCTTGTTCTAGGACGAACGGCAGCTACGTCCAATGATCAGGATATTGACCAATGGGGTAGCCTCACCTCGGGGCCTCCTGCAGTGCAGTCTAGTACTGCTCAACCGACATCGCCTGCAGGCTTCTCCTGGCCTTCTAGTACTACAAGTCCAAGTGCGAAAGGGAGCATGCTCCCGGCGCAAAACAATCTCAGTATGCGTTCGATCACTCCTGATTACAGCTTGAACACATTCCCGTCTCTAGCACCTGCCACTCGGGCAAAATCTCCCCCAACGCCATCATTTCCTACTCTGCAGCCTTCGCCTTCTTCATCGTGGAGCATACCAACCCCCGCAACTAATCAGCAATCGACTCAGAGATCTAATGTTTCGGGTGTATCTCTGGGAGCGTTAGCGAACATGAAGACACAGGCTCCTATGCCTAGCCAAGCCACTCAAGCTGCTCCCAATTACTCTGCATTTTCAATCCCTCCGCCTCCGTCGGGTCACAGCTCCGTTGGATCGTTTGGCAGTCCCGGGGGACTAGCTAAGCCGGGGGGCTCGGCTTTTGGTACAACTGCCTCCTCCAATGCGTTCCTAAACAACAGTGCGCCACAAGCAACACCAAAGCAAGGCCTCGATAAGTACGAGAGCTTGCTGTGAACCCCGGAGGTAAGGTTATACAATGGTTTCAACCGCATATTTTGCAAATTATAGCCACCAGGCTTTGATATTCTTTGGGATTTCCCCTTTATTTCGTTTTGTCTTTCTAGCATAGTCACCGGTTATGTTGTGTGTACAGCATCATGCATGATTCCCCCATGGTTTCAGGCGTAGTTCAAAATGGGCTTCAAAAAGTTTTCATTTCCTCCATTGTCTAAGTTGGCTCCTTATGGAGCAAAAGAAGGGGTGTGACATATCTAGTATACTACCATCATCAGACCACATCGTGGTAATGGAGCATGAGGAGAGGGCAGTGTTGGTGTGAGTTGTCTGTGGTGGAGAAAGAGTCATGGAAGCGATAAGTGTAGGCTCCACTTTTTTTGTTGCCAAGCACCCGATAGTAGATTGATACTATTCCATTCGACTGCAATCTAGGTTCCTTTCCCCGACGGTGACCCGACGTAGCAGTGACGGAGATTCTGGGTACCCACGGCCACCAACAGCTCTCCAGGAATGCAACCTCCTCTTCGAGGCGCCTTGAGACGCTTTCCGTCGGCTCAGCGTTTTGTCCTCCCCCACCGCCCCTCGTCCCTGCTGCCCCTCCGTCATCGTCTGCCTCCTCTCCACCTCACCCGCTGCTCTTCCTCGTCTGTAGCAAATACCCTTCCTTCATCCTCCGATTCCCTGATTCACCCCCCTCACCGAGCCACAATGGACGCCCAGGTCAAGCAGCACTACCTGGCCGACTCTCCGCCAACCGTGGTTCGCTTGGAAGTCAAGTCTCACTTTGACAATCTCACGGACCCGAAGCTGCGGAAATACGCTCATTATTTGAGCAGGTGCGCTATAATCCCTATAGCCCATACATTTGCTAGTATTTCGGTGTCATGTGGCGTCTCGCTAACATGCATGTGTGTGTAGAGCTGCCTTTGAGGGAACCCGTATCACCCTCCGTCAGGTCTCGCCGGAGTCCGAGCCTATTTACGACCTCATTCTCGAGCTTCATCGGGCCTGTGATGGGAACTGGTCAGAACTTGCTCAGAAGACCAATGTCAGCGATGAGCATCTACGCTACTTCTTGGAGTATGCAACCCAATTTCTTGGGAATTGTGGTAACTACAAGGGTTTCGGAGACTCGAAATTCATTCCCCGACTCCCGGTTGAGGCTTTCCAGGCTTTAGCTTCGGCCACGCCAAAGACAAAGGCTGCCTTTGACTTGGCCAACTCTACCGGTGGTGGCATCTACGAGACTGATGAGCAGTCCCGTATGCACCTCGGCTACCCGGAGGGCGGACACATGACAACATACTACCCCGACTCACCGTCTATCACAAAGGATGAAATCACGGCTATCGGAGATCTGATGGAGGCGAAAGGATTGCCGTTGGAGAACACAAGACTCAAGAAGACCGAGTCCGGTGACTTCCAACTATTGATTGCATCGGGTGTTTCCTCACCACCCGTGCGGGATAGAGATCTTGGCGATGCCGAGATCTTCGAATTGGATGGAAAGCTCAAGGGAAAGACGCTTCGTCTCGTCTTTGGCGACTATCGGGAGGAAATGGCGAAGGTCGCTCACAGCGTAAAGCAGGCGGGACTCAATGCAGCAAATGAGAACCAGAAGCGGATGTTGGATGCATATGCCATGTCATTCGGCTCTGGCTCGATTGAAGCATTCAAGGAGAGTCAAAGGATCTGGGTAAAGGATCAGAAGCCGGCTCTAGAGACGAATCTGGGCTTTGTCGAAACCTACAGAGACCCCCACGGTGTGAGAGGAGAATGGGAAGGATTTGTTGCTCTGGTAAGCGTCACTTCAGATCTCAAGACATATCACTCGGACAGCTAACAGAGCTCCCAAAACAGGTCAACTTGGAGCGGACACGTGCTTTTGGAAAATTGGTGGACAGTGCCGAAGCCATGATCCCCAAGCTTCCTTGGGGTAAGGATTTTGAGAAGGACAAGTTCCTGAGTCCTGACTTCACCTCCCTGGAAGTGCTGAGCTTCCAGTCCTCTGGTATCCCAGCTGGTATCAATTTGCCTAATTACGATGACATCCGGCAAAACCTTGGATTTAAGAACGTCTCCCTCGGCAATGTCCTTAGCGCAAAGGCTCCTAATGAGCCTGTGCCTTTCATTGCGGAGAAGGATCTGGAGGTCTACCGTAGATGCCGTGATGCTGCGTTTGAGGTCCAGGTCGGCATTCATGAATTGCTTGGTCATGGAACCGGAAAGTTGCTCCAGGAAACAGCCCCTGGGGAGTACAATTTTGATGTCTCCAATCCTCCCATTAGCCCAGTGACGAACAAGCCTATCTCATCCTGGTACAAGCCTGGGCAGACTTGGGGCTCGGTGTTTGGAGCAATGTCCTCTTCCTATGAAGAGTGCCGCGCGGAGTGTGTCGCCATGGCGCTCAGCTGCGACTTCAGCATCCTGCAGCTGTTTGGTTTCGGCGACGGTAAGGAAGATCTGGCGAACGAGGCCGGTGACGTTCTTTTTGCGGGATACCTGCAGATGGCTCGTGCTGGTCTCGTGGCTCTGGAGTTCTGGGATCCCAAGACGCAGAAGTGGGGACAGGCCCATATGCAGGCCCGGTACAGTATCCTACGTACCTTCCTCGATGCTGGAGGCGAATTTGTCAAGCTCTCATACACTAAGGATGACCTATCCGATCTGGAGATCCACCTGGACCGTTCCAAGATTCTGACTCATGGTCGTCCTGCTGTGGAGAAGTACCTGCAGAAATTGCATGTCTACAAGAGTACTGCAGACTTTGAAGCAGGCAAGAAGCTCTATGATGATATCACATCAGTCGATGAGTGGTGGGGTACCAAGGTGCGCGAGATTGTTCTCAAGAACAAAATCCCTCGCAAGGTCTTCGTGCAAGGCAACACTATCTTGAACGGGGATGAAGTAACCCTCAAGGAGTACGAGCCTACACTTGAAGGAATGATCCAGAGCTTTGTGGAGCGTAATGTCTGAACGAAAGGCGTTGAGGACGAGACCGGAGGAGTATTAATGTGTTGATTAATATCGCCGGATACTCGACGCTCTCCTGTCTGCATGGTGGTACATATTGGGTGGAAATGCGGCACACTGCCTGCTTTAGTAGTATGGATTGGATCTATCAGACATGCATCATAAATATGGCCTGCATATAATCAGAATTCCTTCTCCTACCATCTATCTTTTAGTACTTGAGAACCTGCTCTCCGTGGTTGCTATGAATCATGTGACTGGGAAACGTGGGGGATCGCCACTTTGACAGGCAGCTTTTCCCACCAAAGACGATAGCCTTGGAGGGTTTCAAGATTATCGATAGAAGGCAATATAAAGCGGCCTTTTTGTAGACTGTGCGTCACGTAGCTAATTGAACAGCCAGGTGATTGCTGGTCATCAAGCTGGGAGGAGCGCCGGCGGGAGCGATCAGCCAATGTCCGCAGTCGAGAGCAGCCGGTGGATCAAGCGCCGCCTCCTCTTTCCTCCTCCCTTCAGCAACAGCGGATTCCAGGCTCTCTCGTGCCTGTAAGCGCTTCCTCTCCATCCTCGTTCTCCCTCTCCCCTCGTCCCTTGAACCTCCTCCACCCCACAGTCTCAACTCCTATCATTTTGGCTGCGGTCGCATTCTCATTGTTACTTCTTCTTCATTTCTTTGTTGTTCTGTCGTACCTCCAGGATAGAATCCGATTTGGATCAACTAAACTCGCCCCCTAAGTTCCATGTTTGAGCGCCTCTAGAAACACAACGGAGGGCTCCTGAGCGACTCGAGCAACCCGGGGTCTGGAAATACTCCGGCCAAGGCCCCTTCTCAGTGGGGTTCACCAAGCTTCCGGTAAACCAAAGGACAAGACGGCCTTCTCTCAGCATCAGTCTACAACTCCCGACACCTTGTCGTGGTCACCGAATTCTTCTGGCTCGCCTCCCACGGCGCGGCCGTATCAGTACACAGACTCCGTAGCGGAGGAGGACGACGACTTCTATACCGCACCACCGCCGCCGCATTCCCCCATTTCGGAGGCTTCTTCCTCTAGTTTCTCCTCGTCGCATCCTCCCCCTTTTTCGTCTCTTGTCTTCGCTCCGGCGACCGAATTCAATCGCGGGAAGGCTACTGTCTCCCCACCCGAATCGGCCTCAGCTCCCGTCTCCGTTCCTCTTCCCCCCGACGAAGAGTCTCTCGAGCCGAGCCCTTCTTCATCCTTAGTCGCTGAAACTAAGGCTTCTTTCTCCCAGGACCAGAAGCCGGATTCGTCAGGAAAATCTGCGGAAGAGGGAGAGCCTCCTCCGCCGTATACTGAAGGATCCAGTCCCATCGAATCGTTCACATACGTGATGGCTGCAGCAGGAGGCGCGTCGAGCATCATCACGCAGGTGCAGCAGACCGGCGGGCCGCCGATCAATACATTAGGAGGTACGAAAGCCATTTCCCATCTAACGGGAAAGTCTTTTCTTTTGCTGACTGTTTTGCATGGATCTTAGACATCGGTGGGGATGAACATATCACTCTTGATCTCCGGTGAGAATTCTCTATCAGCCCTGAGTCAAAGTAAAGTCTTAGACCTCCTAACCAATGTCACAGGGGAACCCGCTTTACCCTCTCCCGAGATGAACTTCTGACTCTCCCCGAATTTGTCCTTTTGTCACTTTTTCCAAACGGTCTACTTCCTGACGGGCACATGGGTACCTTCCATGAAGGCGACATCTATCCGGTCGACGTGAGTTAACAGTCGTTCCTCTACTATTCATCTTCCACCGCCGCTGTTCTCCCTATATCTTGCCCAGGACACGTCTCATTATTTCCCACTTTTTAGTACGATCCGGCGTCTCTGCAATACATGTTAGACTTCTTCCGATCGGTTGCTCAATCTATCCCGTCGTCCTCACCATCTGCATCGACCTCTCCGGACTTGGACGTTGCTCCCGACTCCATGCAAGGAACTGCTAGAGATATGCTTCAGGACCGTGCTGGTATCATAGTGTTGCGCGAGGACCTCGATTTCTACGCGATACCTCCTCGCCCCGATATAGACCAGGCGGAGATGATCCAGGTCAAGCGCGCGGCTGCAAAATCATTGTTAAAACAAGACGGAATATTTTCTGGGCTGAGAAAGAGCGACGAAGCCGGTTCGACAGAGCAGCATCTCATAGAGATGCTTACTGCAGGGTACGTTGGCTATACCCACTCATTATCACCTATGGTGATACAAAGAATGGTTCTTGAGACTGACAAATCGTAGTGGGTTTGATCGTGACGACCGGTGGGGCCATCGAGCCCCAGAGCCCAACAAGGCGGTAATATGTAGCCTGGCTTTGGCCAAGCTGCGTACCGACATTCGGGGTGACCTATCGAATAACAATGCAGTTGGCATGGCTCAGAAGCTCCTTCTATTCTGGAGGAAACCAGCCAGGAGATGCTGGTGGGAAGGAGTTGAGCTAGATGATGTGGAGGGAGTGGAAGGCAAAGTGAAAATTTGGATTCGTAGAGTATGGACTCTAGAGATGGTGAGCTTGCCTTTACTGCTATCATATACTCAGGATCTAACCAATATTTGCAGAGCGTAATCGGGCTTCGATAGCCTCCTCGCGGCGGTCATATCGTACCAATGGACTTTCTTAGTCTCCGCCGTTATCCTGCGATTTCTTTCATCCTCGTCGATGCATATTAGAATCGCTCTTTAGCAGCCCATTTTTGTTTTTTCTTTTCTGCGTTGCCCAGTGCACATTTGCGGAGTTGATGATATCCCCTATATCCCGAGTCTGCATCCGCAGCCTAACAGACAAGAGGGATGGCGTATTCAATTATCATTGGGTACTGTGTAATCCTGTTTATAGTTTTCATTAGCTGGCCGGACCCCATGCATTGATTTGTATTCTCATCTAATTTCATTCCTGCCCTGCTTGTCTTGTACTCTTTTGGCCACTTAGCTCTGTTGCTGGGCTTTGACAAAGTGCGAGACTGTTGCTGAGTTGGAACCCATACAATGTGTCTCTACAATACACGCAAAATAACACGAGGAATAAATCGCAGACATTCAAGATTTTAGGCCATAAACGAGCTCTGTAAATTCCAACTTTGTATAATTGTACTCCAGATAGAGCTTGCCCTGTATACCAATCACGTGATTATGTGGCTGAATGGGGCCTAGCGTGGAAAGGCCGGCAGTTCTGGCAAAACGCGACGAGCAGAAAAGGCGGAGCTCGACCGCGATCACCGTCAAAGAGCAGCTTTGGCTTCAGTCCACCATCTCCATTTCGCAGCCTCAATTCCTGAATCTTGATTTCCTTCAGCAACTGCCCGCTTCAGGCGCTTCCTCCTCGCGCAGCGATACCTCGACCATAACACTCTGAAATCATTGTTTTCGCTCCTCTGCTGTCAGCCCTTTCGTCGAGCGGATTGCACGCGGCCCTGTTCGCCGATCGACTTGCGCAGTGTCTGAAAGGGACATGTCCCTGACCAGCTAAATGGCCAACATGTCCCCTCTCAGAGGTTACATCACATCATACCCGCCCCGTGTGCGCCAATATGGCAATGCGCTTCTCACCCCGATTATCCCACCCAGCCAAGTTGGCCCGACTTCACGGACGACCAAGCGAGGAACCGCCGCTATCAATTATGCGGAAGATGGTTACGACGATGAAGACTTTGAGGACAGCGAGGGTCCTCGGCGGCCAACCGGGCTAAGGAGCCTTCGACGGGAAGAGTCAACGTTCGACAAGGTGCCACTGGCGGAGAAGCTGGGGAAAGAGATACACGCCCCTGTTGAGGTCCAAGGGGTTTTTCGCGATTGGATGATCAAGAGGATGTTGCGACCAGCGTATGTGCCTCTCAACTTGATTCTTCAAGCGATTCTAGTTTACCTCTGCGTCCTTCCTGCTTTTGCTATGATACTGACTTGGAATCTTTTCTCCCTTCGTACAGTTGCGCCGATCAACTGCAAATCCAAGCGCAGCTCCCTCTTACCCTTATACCTATCCGAATTGATTTGGAGGTCCCAGCGCATCAACCCCTAGAACCATTCCCTTTGCCGCGAACAGTCCTCGATCCCAGTATCAACCCTACCTTGCCCGCCTACAGACGGCCGGAGGCGCTTCCTGCCTATCGCATCAAAGACACTTTCCTTTGGAATCTTCACGAGGCTCTTGCGACTCCCGAAGAGTTTGCCGTAGGATTCGTTCGCGATATGGACCTACCGAATCCCCAGGCCATGACGATGGCTATTAGCAACCAGATTCGTCAACAATTGGAAGAATATGCCGGCGTTGCCCTGCATCCGTTATTCCAGAGTGTACAGCCGAAACCTCCAGTTCCGCAGATTGGCCTGTCGCGAGATGTGTCTGCTACACCGGTTTCTACCCACGCCGCGACGCCTGACAGCAGACCCAACCAAGTAACGGTGACCAAAGAGCCTCTCGTGAACGACAGCATACTAAACCCGGATGACGCGTATCGGTGCATGATCAACCTAAATATCAACTTGCAAAACAAACTGTACACGGACAAGTTTGAATGGTCTCTATTGCATCCTCCGGGTATGGCGGAGGAGTTTGCCAGAATTACGTGCGCGGACCTTGGTCTGGGTGGGGAATGGGTCGGGGCCATTGCGCATGGCATCTACGAAGCCGCTTTGAAATTGAAGAAAGAAGTATGCGAAAGTGGTGGACTCATCAGCGGCATGGGTGGTTATGGTAATGAGATCGACAATCAAGCTGCCAACGGCGCGGAGGCGGGCTGGCGTTACGATCCCGAGGGACTAGGCGACGAATGGGAACCTAAGGTGGAAACGCTGTCAAAGGAGGAAATTGAGAAGCGTGAGGGTGATCGCGAACGTCAGATTCGTCGTCTACGTCGAGAGACGGCCAGATTCTCCTCGACTGCGGGCATAACGCCCGACGCCTCCCGACAGGGCAGTGGTTACTTTGACGTCGACAGTGAGACGCCGCTCGGAAGAGGCGAGCGGAGCAAACGGAAGAGACGATTCCGCAGCCTGAGTCCCTCGGGGAGAGGAGGAACCCCTGGAGGACGAGGGACTCCGGATACTGGTTCAGGAGCTGGCTATGGTGGAGGTGGCGGTACACTTGCTGACTGGTTCGTTATGCCTTTAAATTCTCTTCATAGAGCACATGCTGACCACCGTCTTTGCTCGATAGGGAGCGCCAAACTTGGAGATGCACCAACTGTATGGTTTGGGGTACGGCGGTTTGGGCCGTACGAGATGGCCCAGCAGGTCCAAGAGTAAGATCATGTGCCGTCTTTCGAAGTGACTACTTGCTGACTGCCACTGCGACAGACGCTCTGCCACAACTGTGGTCTTTTGTACGAACGAGACAAGGTGGCCCCCGAATGGTCCAGAGATCTACACCGTCACGATATGCCCATCGGCCGGTAGTAGATTTGGCGGGCTTTATAAGCGTAGATGTTTCTCTTGGACCCGCGGCTCTACGCTCTGTACCTAAACGGCAGAGGTGAGACCGATCCCTCTCCCTGCTATGATACCTCGAGCAGGGGTCAGAGCAAAGAGTCTGATTCCATGTTGTTCCCCTCTCTCCACAGGCCGGCTATTTCGTATCATATCCTACGAAGTATCCCTGACGTGATGAATCCTCGTCGACAAAACCTTTTTCACCTCCCAATAAACCTGCCTTGTATTTCCCCCATGCCGGAACAAGCACTTCACACCCCCAGTCAATGTACTATCTGATTGATGATATCTCTAATGAACCTCTATTCTAGTTGGGGCAGGCGTTTTTCTCATTTTTTTTTTTCATACTTCCGAATTTCTTAACTACTCTTCAACCCTTTTTTTCTTTTCTTACTCTCCTTAATATGTTCTTCTTGATGGATTGGTATTCATTTCCACACCTACTCTTTCTGCTATGGCGATGGGTCGGTCCACCTTTATTTCATTCTCATCATCCTTGGTTAGGGTTGTAAGGATTCTCAAAATTATTTGGTGATCATTGCTATTCTACTTTTGCTACATTATGGGGGAAGGGGGGTTATGTATGGTCTGGTACATTAGGTTACGAGGATCAGGTGGGCACTCCTGTTTGTTTCGTTCCTCTTCGATCTATGGTGGTTCTGCCTTTTTGGTCTTATCGCCTTTTCTGTGGGGGCAATTCAGCCGATCTTATATGTAGTCTTGCTATCGATTGATGTGTTGTATGATAGTTTCGGCATTATAATAGGAGCGAAGAGGATTAGCATATCGAGAATAAATTACTCGTCTAAATACTCAAATGCTAATTTCATGACTACTAGCTACTACTATTATTCTGTAGGATATTATGAGAGTACTAAGTAGTAGACTGCCAAGGAGACCTCATTGTGAATGTCATCGACATTGTAGTACTATATATACTAGTAAACGTGCTCGGTTCAAGCATCATCATCACAGACCACTCATCCAATGCAGGACCATCTCAAGAACACGAGAACACGATGACATTCTATTCGAAATAAACTCCACAGGCGATCCAAACTAAACTAGAACTAGCAACACTAACATCAACTAATCTAGGAAAAGAATTACTCTATCTTAGCTATATGGTCAATCCGATCCATTACCCTCCTGCCCCCCCGGCCAGCCAGTCGTATTTTATGTCCAGGCCATTCCACCTAACATTATTCAAGCCATCAAAAAGGATTAAGAGAAAGCAAGTAAACACAAATAAAACACAGAAGCAAAGATATAGAAAAAATAGTGTGCACATGCACAGAGTAAGAGAGCGAGAATAGCCCACCCTACTTCATCAATCCATGCCACGTGCCAGACAAACAAACAGGCAACTACCGTGCCCTCTTAACAGAACCAGCCGTAGCAACCTCTGGGGGTTCCTATATTGGAAAATCATTAGACTAGCTGTGCGCAAACCATACACCAAAACCTCAAGCGTAATCCAAGTGAAAGCAACCCAAGGGAAGGAAAGATTTTGAACTTACAGAACACGCCCTCCGCTTCCTCCTCAGCACATTCATCCCCATCCTTCGTTGTCCGGTCACCCCCACACAGATTACATTCCCACTTCCCAGGATCTTGATCCCTGTGTTGATATTCAGCGTGATAGATGACGATGGCAGTCCATCTGCATCTGCAAGTGCACCTTCAGTAGCGGGGTTGTCACTAGGAATAGAATCCAGACGTCCCGTACGATGCAAAGCAGCAATAATGGACGTGACCATGTCTGTTAATTTGGAATGGCGCTGGTATTGGGATAATTGCGGTACGGCGGTTGTGGATGATGATGAAGATGAAGTTGGATTCAGAGTTGACGAGGTTTGTGGATTGTGGGTTGGTGCTGGTGCTGTCACTGATGGAATGATAATGCTATTTGCGTTTCCCTGGATGCTCATTGAGGCATCGATATGGATGCTTATGAGGCTTGTTTGGTCCGTCCCGCCATCGTTATCGGCTTCATGTTCCTTTGGGGCATTAAAGGTGGAAGGGGAGTATGGAGGTGGAGGCGGGATGGTGTTTGTATGATCAGAATCTTCTTGTGATTCGGCTAATTTGTGGATTTGATGGCGGATGGATTCAGATGGTGGAAGCATTGTGAGTAGAATTGGGTCTGATAAGCGCTAAGTCATGGAGAGAGAAGATGAGGGTATATGTGAAGATTGTTATAGATGATGTGCACTGTAGCAACGGAAAGATTGTCCTACAGAATAGGGACCGGACTTTTAAAGAACAGGATGAAAGAATGGTTGCAATGGGAGTTTGGTTGGGATTGGTCACTGTCGCTGAGAACAATAGCATGCAATTGACATAAATAAGCGCCATCACAAAACATCCATCCACGTAACAAAGTCGCATCATTAAACGAACTGTCTCCCAGCACCATCCACTAGCAGGCGACTACGACACTCTATTACGCCAGAACGGCTTAGGAGTGCATCACACAGCCCGTACCAGTCAACATTGTCTCATAACAATGCCACCAACGTCTCGAATTGACGTGCTCTGGCTGTGATATTGTTCTCCCCCATCAATAGGCGGAATAGGGTCACGTGTCGATTCAGAGAAAACAAGGGTGCCTATGCTGTGCCACCCCAGAGATTCAAAGGATGAATAGCGGATCTGAATAGGCACAGCCAATTCTGACGGATCAGGATCTAACGGTTCCCACCAACAAGGACTGATCGGCACTTGCGTGATCCCGACGGACTCCATATCAACCTGCTAGTCCGATACATCTCCTTTCTTAGTCTCCAAAGGCTGATTTGGAAAGTCGAATAATTACGTTAAGCCCAGCGGTCCCCATGACGCCAATCCTCGTATACAGTGTGATCACCGCTAGGACTGAAGCCACCAGATGGATTTTCCGGATTATTTCCACTTGCAATTAAGGTAGGGTTCCCTTTAGATGAAATCCCATGAATTGCGTCTATTCGATGAAACCCGGTTAGCGTTTCCAGCCTATCATCCTAGCCCATCATGCGAGGTAGTAATAGGCCGCCTGGCACGTCATGAACTTACTCGTGGAGTTGGGTATAGCGTCTCCGCGGGCATGCTGGTCCGTATCTCCTTCTATCTGCCCTTGCCGTTCCTTCCGACGTTCCGGATAATATTTGCCGCCTGGATGCAGTGGATGCGGAATCTAGATACTGATTAGCAGAAACAAAGGCCGGCGCGCAAAGACTTGATTATACCAGCGTTCGTTCCACGCCAGCCGAATTTGATTTCATTTCACGGACTGCTGGTACTGACTTCGCGAAATTCATCCCCCTCGACTTGGACCTCGCGGTCGCGAATACGGCGCATCAAGGCAAGAAAGTTGCTTTCTTTGAATTTCTGGCTTTGATCATGTTTGACGCTATCCAAAAGCTGGCCCGCGGTTCTGGCGAGCTCGTCCGCATCGTTCACCCGTGCCTGTTGATCATTCTTATCGGTCTGGGGAATAGTATCCGATCCAATCTTGATCTTCCCTTCCGTGCTTTCAGCCACAACTTGATCCGTCTCTTCCATGACTTCCTCAGCGTGAACAGGAGTAGTCTCGGTTTCCTGCGACATCATGTCTGCTCGCGCCTGTTCAAAAGCAGCTTCAAACGCCGATTCATCAAATGTGTCTGCCATCGGTTGCTGATTTGCTGTAGTGGCTTGCATAGGAGGGAAAGCAGCACTGGTCATAGGGAAGCGAGGTGTAAAGGATGGCTGAAGCCCTTGGACATGCGGCTGGTGCTGCTGATAAGAGGATTGTTGCTGCTTAGCGAACTCGTTATGCCAACCCTGTTGTGAAACAGCCGCCATCGGCGCTACAGATGGTCCTGATGTTTGATGGAGTGAATGCGGAGGTCCCGAAATATGCATATTTTGAAAGTCTGCCGCCCAGTTTGACGATTCTGCCGGGCTCGATACTGGGAAATGATGCGAGGGAGGAACGAAAGGGACGGCATGCTGTACATCGGGAGGGGGCGCTCCTGCTAGACCGGACTCGAAGGCAGCGAATTCGGGATCAAGCACCCCTTGAGTTGGATTTTGAGATCGAAACCCCTGCTGTTTCTATGAGTACAACTCGGTAAAGCACGCTCACGGCGAGACTCACTTGAGAAGGCGACTGTCGAGAGATAATTCTATCTTGCTGGAGGGTACGATCAACAGATGCATGCTTTTGAAAGTTCTGCAGCGCATTCGAGGGACCACATAGAGCATCACTCATGGTGCCGACTAGATTGAACAAGAGCTGGGAAGATGGAGCGCGTCGGATTGCTTGCTATGTTGGGGGCAACAGGATATACAATAAGCGTAGTAAACAGGCAACTAATAGTAGTGTTTAGGGATGCAGGATGTATGTACAAGAACACGCAAAGAAGTGAGTCCAACAGAAGACAAGAAGAGAATGAGAGGAGGCAAAGGCAAGTAAAAGAGAGAGAGAGAGTAGTAACAGCCAAGGAGACCGAAGAACAGGCCGCGGGGCAGGGCGACCGAGGACTACCGAGGCCCCCGGATCACGTGTATATGAGCATGACTGGAGATGGCTGACTGAGCCGATAAGATAAGATCGGGCTGCGGCTGACTTGCGAAACGGACAAGCTGGCGGTGTTTTGCTGCTGATTCTCCTGTTGCGTGTTGATTCGGCCCTCCACCACCGCCTTCTTCCCCCCCAAGAACCCCCCTAATACTCCCCGGCAGGGCCACCCACGAGCTTACGTCCCTGTTGACCTTATAGAGTCGATCCCGATATCGAGCAGAAAGTTGATCAATATGGTATGTCCCCCAACTCCCCCCAATGGTCCCAGGCGATTTGCCCATGACTATTGCTAACGTCCAGGGAACTAGGCTGCTCAAGTAATCTCCAATTCCGGACACGATGAGATGATTGTACGTGAACCGAGACAGAATCCTCTTACGCCATCGTGACAATGGCTTCATCCCTTTCTGCCTGGCCCCTGAGACTGACCGCAGCGCATAGCACGATGCCGGCCTGGACTACTACGGCCGCAGATTGGCAACATGTTCATCGGACAAAACGATAAAGATCTTTGAAATCGAAGGAGAGACACATCGGTTGATTGAGACATTGAAGGGGTGAGGATTCTGATGCCTGGTCATCTTACGCGCCATTGTTTCTAACCTCCATCCGTGTGTGAGCAGACATGAAGGAGCTGTGTGGTGTGTGGCTTGGGTACGTCATAATGGCTTTCATTGTCAAGCTGTCCTATTCAACTATGTATCTGACTCCGGTCTTCTCTAGGCGCACCCTAAGTTCGGAACTATCCTCGCTTCCTCCTCGTACGATGGAAAGGTGCTCATCTGGCGCGAACAACACCAGAACGCCACGTCACCCGTCGCTGGCGGCGCTTGGACGAAGGTGTTCGACTTCTCTCTACACACCGCTTCAGTGAACATGGTCTCCTGGGCTCCGCATGAAAGTGGCTGTCTCCTCGCTTGCGCCTCCTCGGACGGACATGTTAGCGTTCTTGAGTTCCGCGACAATAGCTGGACTCACCAGATCTTCCACGCCCACGGTATGGGCGTGAACTCTATCAGCTGGGCACCTGCAGCCGCCCCGGGCAGCTTGATCAGCTCCAACCCTGGACCGGGCCAGCAGCGGAGATTCGTCACTGGTGGAAGCGACAACCTGCTGAAGATCTGGGACTACAAGTATGCACCATGAACCGCTTCCCACTGATACTCTGCTTTCAATTGAACTAAGCTGACCCTTACACCTCTACAGCCCGGAAACCAAGACCTACAACAACACGCAGACTCTCGAAGGCCACTCCGACTGGGTTCGGGATGTCGCTTGGTCGCCTAGCGTTCTTTCCAAGTCCTACATTGCCTCTGCCTCTCAAGACAAGACAGTCCGGATCTGGACTTCCGATGCGTCAAACCCTGGTCAGTGGACCAGCCAGCAACTTGAGTTCGACACTGTACTCTGGCGAGTTAGCTGGAGCCCTAGTGGAAACATTCTTGCTGTGAGCGGTGGCGATAACAAGGTCAGCTTGTGGAAGGAAAACCTCAAGGGGCAATGGGAGAAGGTAAAGGATATCGAGGAGTAGGCTTCAGATTCTAGATTCCTCAACTTTCAAATTTCATATTTCACGTGTGATAACAGATAATTTGGGTTTCTGCCATGTATTTCATCCGACCCAGACGTTATCAAAAATAAAAAACGAGCTCAAAAACAGGCAAAACCGTCATTGTTTCCAGAAAATAAACGGACCCTTGTCCAGCGTCTCCAGCAGATCTATCCAACTTCCGATCATGATATTACCTTCTGGTAAGATAACGCCCTCGTAAACCTGTACCAAGTAAAAATCAGACTCAAAGTCCGACGGCGGCCATCCTGCCTCGAAAAGCCAAGGGTTCTCATCCATAGCGGCCTCTGTGCCATTATGAGCAGGAGGAACGGGTAGCTGCTCTTGGTCCCACTCATATATCACAAAGCAAATGCGACGCCAGCCAGGAAAGCCCCCTTGAGCATCGGCGATCGGTTCACAGAATCCTCGCACCAAACCTAGGGTCTGAGCGACGTAACCAGGTGATCTCCGTATCCCACGGAAATAAGACCGTTCGGGGTTTGGGGGATCAGTGGGTAGTACTGATTGAAGTATAGGTGGCCAGTTTAAAGGGTTGGAGTCGGGTTTCACTAGAAAAGACTACACAGCAGGCATTGGATCAGCTGGGTCCATATTCCTTGAGTATTCCATGCAATCACCCGAAATCGGACTTGTACACAATCAGTGTCCAGATCCGCACATGTCTGGCGATCCTCGAGGATCTTTAGAGATCTTGGATATGGATGGACGCATGCTACACACAAGTTAGCATTTGCATTCCCTGTATGTTATTATGACTAGGTAACAAGCGAGTCACTGACATGCATATCCCATCCAGGGCAATTCGTCATTAGAAGGCGCAAGCTCACCCCAGGATCTAGGCTTGTAGCATGGAGCCAGGTCAATGTAAGAAGAGTGAAAGGTCCCTTCAGCCGGGCAGAGAATATGACGAAGCCAGAAGTTGCGTATGTGAAGTAATTTCTCCAGGTCGAGCTTGTTTCCCTGCACAATCGGTCTGCTGCTGTTCTCAGCCCTGTAATCATAGACAATACCGACGTCATAGTCCGCCCTTAGACACTGAATACACATAAGAGGGTCCAGAGTTAGCCCAGTCAGGCACTGCCAGAGTCAATTTCAACGCTTTCTCCTATATGACGGCTATGGTGCCTACTAATTGGGTTGCGCAGAATAGATCGGAAGGCGGGCCTGCATCCTTCTGACTGTAGCCACTAACGGGCCTGTTCAGAAATTCAGAGCTAGAGAGTATGCCTCGAATCTTTCGGTGGTTCTTAGAAGTCAATGGCTTGTTCGATTCTAGTAGACAGTATGATTCAAGTAGCATATCTCGGAGGACTTCCAGCCAGAAAGTCTGCGCCTCTTTTTGGCCGAAGCGAAAAGTGATGGATTGTGAGAGGACAATGGCTCGAATTTGATATTCAACCTTGACTTCATCAGACGCATACTGCCGAGTAACGTCGTAGATATCACTGAAGCGGCTTCGCCAGATGGAAGAATGAGCCGGAAGTGTTTTTGCTGCGAGCCAAGGGCAGCATTGGGCGAAGTTTACCATATCGACGTCGTGAGGTAGCAAGTAAGCAATGTATTGAATAATCTAGGGGCAATATTAGCAATGCTAATATATTATATGGATATAGCAAGACCTGTCACCTCTGTGGGCAAGCGAAAAAGGGGATTGTGAGAGCAATCTTCCGCCATGGTCGGTATTTGGGGGCTCATCTTCGTTAGGCTTCCGTGTTACTGGGAATACCTATAAGAGGCTATACAGCAGTGACAGGCTACTTGTCTTATGTCCTCGAGCCACTCAGGGAGATGCTGAGAATGATGGTCTTACACTTTCTCAGTGTACACATATGTAGAGTCAGAGAAGGCCGCCGTGCTTAAGATATATAGCTCCCATAGAAGCATGAGAATCGAGAGTGAAGAGGTAATGAATGAAGAGCGAATTCGTGTTCAATCATATGTAAGGAAAGCAAATTCTTTTGTCACGAGATCATCTTCCAAACTTAGTACGTTGACCTGTTTATGCTCGCTGTGGATGACGGTACAGCTACATGCCAATCCAGAGTGATACAGCTCTCTGTTCGAAGTGAAGTCTACGCAGCATATACGAGACAAGGGATTTTGCATTGTCAGGTTTGAACTTACTGCGGTGGACCTTGCAGGGAAGGGGGTGCATACAGAACTCAGTCACAGGAGGTAAGATGTGCGCTTCTATAAGCCAACTATTGCATATATAATACTTCGATTTAGACCCAGAAAATAGACTCCGGAACACTGGCTTGCAGTTGATAACAAGGTCTATAAAGTCTGCACGCGGGTCTCGTATGAGCAGAAGCTAGCCCCTTAGCTCACATCGGGACGACCACGACGTCTTCTTAAACTTTCCTGAACACCCCAGCCGTCTGATAGGAGTTCCTTGACTTCCTCCAAGCGAAGCCCGCTCATTTCGGGATAGATAGCGTATACACCAAACCAACCGAACACACATACGGCCGCATAGGCCGCAAATGTCCATCCAGGTGAGAGCCATTCCATCATAGGCAGAAAAGTTAGGCCGACAACGAAGTTTGACCCCCAATTCGTGGCAGTAGCCAAGGCTGATCCCAAGGAGCGCACATTCAAGGGGAAGAGCTCTGATTGCTGCCAGGGCACGTTTCCAAGCCCGAATGCATAAGCTCCCACATAAACGGTGAGGCATATCAAGATAACAATAGGAAGGAAAGCGCTATCAATTGTGGCATCTTCCGCTCGTACCCTTGACTCGGGGTTCGGCATTTCGACTGAGCCGAACGTAAAAGCGCAAGCAATGAGTGAGAGAGCCATCACTGGCATTGAGTACAGGAGGATGCGGCGCCGACCAATCCTATCGATAAAGGCAAATGCGAGTAAGGTGAATAAGAAATTGGTCAACGCCACCGACAATGACACGAGTGTTGGTGATGAAAACGACAGCATGGAGAAAATTGTCGCCGAGAAATACATGAGACTATTGAATCCACACAATTGTTGTGTGGCTTGCAGCATAACCGCTATAATCAACGCCCTCCGATTACCACCGACGAGGATTAAGTGGCAAGCACACTGCGTAACGTTCGTCAGCCACTGCCAATTCCCTGTGGAGGGCTTATTGGTTTGAGTCAACTCTTCCTCCTCCTCAGCCACTTCTTGCTGGATATCACGCATAACCTGCTTAGCCATGAGGCCACTGTCGGGATGACTCCCGTAGACCCGGGAGAGGACTTTCGTAGCTTTCTCTTCAAACCCTGCTTGGACCAGCCACCGAGGGGTTTCTGGAAGAGCTAGAACTATGAAAAATTGAAAAACTGCTGGGAGCATTCCAAGGCCAACAATATAGCGCCAGCCCCCAGATACAGAGGAGAATAACCAGCCGATGATATAAGCAACGACTTGTCCGCCTGTAATAAAGAGACTCAGTATCGTCACAAGCCTTCCTCTAGCATGAGAAGGTGCCAACTCGGATATATATCTGGAGATATGTTAGACAAAAGGACAACTTTATTCCTCCCTACTATACTCCTTCGAGGGACACCCTTAGTAAGAATTGAACATACAATGGAGTCACCAGACTTGCTCCACCAACCGCCAGGCCAACAATGCTTCTTCCAGCTATCATGCCCCATACTGCGCTTGTGACAGCTTGTATCAAAGCGCCAAGAGTGAAAAGCACGTCTGCAACGAGAATGACCTTTCTGCGACCGAATTTATCTGCCAGGATTCCCGCTAGCGGACTCGCAATCAGAGCGAACAGGCTGGTGCAGGATGTCACGAGACTCTTGTCCAATGTCGTTAGACGATGTTTAGAGAGGTCGGACCCGATCGATACTAAGGTTGCGGAAATGACACCTGTGCTTCAAAGGGCGGAGTGTCAGTATAACGGAGGACAGCAATCACCTCTCTACATGAAGTTGTCGTCGATGGGGAGGCTATCAAGATTGGACCTACTCGTAACCAAATAACAACCCACTTATGCCTGCGGAGAAGGTCAGAGCGTATATAAACCACCCGTTTGTTTGTTCCGAGTTGGTAGTAGGCTTCAGCCTACTGCTACCTTCATGTTGGGGTTCATGGTCTATCCGTGGCTCGGAAGGGAGCAAAGGAGCATTGGGGTCAGACGGCTCAATTTCGTCCCTGCGATTCATGGCTTAAGGTTGGATAGCTTCTATACGGGTATCCATATCAGCCATTCCAGGCACAGTTATGACTTGAGCTTCCAGGTATACCCTATATCTGGGGTATACTAGATTGTTCTCGGGAAAGGGGGTTCTGGAATCTGGAGAAGTGGTCGCGGGTTTAGCTCAGGCACGGGGTAGACACTTTTTACATAATAAGGCTGACAGCTCACACGACCCACCGCCCCCATACTCAACAGTGGCGCAGCCATGGATCTGGATACAACAGCATGTAAAGGAGGAGCTCACTCTTGGTGTTTAAAGTCTCAGGTCACTGGTCCAAAATGTTGAGATGCAATCACCGATGGTATGTCGTTAAGCAACCAGGTATTCACACTCCGACCAAGTTTATTGGCTACTAAAGTGTATCATCTTTTACCACGAGCAATCCTATATCAGATCTTTGAAACCTATGTTTAAAAACAGGGAACAGATGTGAACTTACTTCAAGCATGTTGATGACCAAAGCACAGGTGTAAACCTACCGACTAATATTCCTCGCACACGGAGTATGCTCCATAGTAACCATTTCATAAGCAAATGGTAAAGGTATCTAATATAACGGTCTTGTAGGCCATTATCAAGATATAGTCAGTGTCCATAAGAGAATAGTTGATGCAGCATGACTACATTTACCACCGCATTTTTCCAGCTGAAGGTGAATAAGGTCCCAGTAACAGAAAGACAAGAATCGTGCTCATTGAGGTTTTGAGGAGCTTTTTACTTATTGGTATCATGCTCGTTGAAGTTATCAGCCTCATGAATCCCAAACAATGATAGAATGCACCTATTTGGCATTACCATGAAGCACTTAGTACGAAGAGATGCTATGTTTACACTCGATTGGCAGGCTCATCAGTGGAGAGCTCCGAAGTACCTATGGTCTAGGTCTTCAGATCATTAAAGTCAGTGTAAGAATGGACGCACAGATAGGTATGTGTTTATTATATCGAATAGTGCTTCGAAGACCCAAGTATTAGGCTTCAGCAGCTATGGATGAATCAGAAAGGTTGAGTGGTTAGAATAACTTGAAAATCAGGCAATATGACAATAAATGATAATGAAAGCTGAGCTCTAGCTGGAATAAATCGTTAGTTGTAGCCAAATAGCTTCTATACATGCTCACCATCGAGCAATTAATAAGGTATCAATAGTCTTCTGTAATTGAGCATCTGCCAATAACGCCCAGCCGAATTATCACTATAGTCGTGCACTTAGTTTCCCTGCAATGCACTGATTCCAGAAAGGTTACCATTTTCCAGTGTTCCTAGGCTCCGGATACCATCGTCTCCTTGGAATTACGAGAATCTGCTGCAATGCTCGGACGCTGCTAGAACCCACAGTCTCTCACTTAGAGAGGATGGGCGAAAGCAATCATACTAACTCCTTGGTCTTCTGTTTTAACAACCAATCCTGCTTTTACAAAGCCTAGATAGTAAACATCATGGTAGAGTCTAGTGGCAGATTCTCTTGACTCGTCTCTTCCCCACTAGGTATCTAGGTCGCGGGTACCAGGTCCTCGTTGCGATCCAACAGATCGAACGTATGATTTCATTGGTTCCAGCATCTTGCACCCCATGTGTGTTGGTAAAAGAGTAGCTTTCCCAGCATGATTATATCATCGTGTTTAGCTTTACCGCCCCAGTTTTTCGGGCACGCCTCCGTAGGCCCCGCGTAGTCGGTGAAGGAGCATCGACTTTGCCAGCTCAGTTTTCTTCCTCTCGGTAAGCGCAGGCCTTTAAAGGTTAGCCCGAATGCAGCTGAAAAATAGCCGGAGTAATGCGCGTATAGATAGTAGCTAGCATTCGAATATGCGTGTGGTAGATAGCCATACCGCTGTACCTACAGGCCAGGATGCTATGTTAATCTATCAAACTTTGAACTCTCTGGCTGATCACCTGCAGAAAGACATCGCACAGCCAAATCGAGCAAGCCTCGGGGGCTAGTTGGTTTGGACACTCATGGTTGCCCTGGCGAGGAGAGGAGAGGGGCCTCAATCGGCGTAAATGTGAGTGCGAGACACTTGCGGAGTACCCGGGTCCTGTACGTAGATGGTTGGTTTGTGACGAGAGTGAATAATGTCCATTGACAGGACCTCGCAAGGATTATCGGGTTTAGTTCCCCATGATCGCGCGTCAGGAGGCAGGACAGCTGTTCATGGGGCCGTGCAACCCTGGCTAGTTTCGCCAATCAAGGGAGCGAGCGGCACTTCTCGTCCACCAACTGTGCTAAATCTGGATGGGTCAGTAGCACCGCAGCGCACTTCGCACTTCAAACCTAGGGGCCCAATGATGAGAATGTTATTGGGACAGGGTTATGCCTGCATGGTTGCATGAAATTGCCCCTCAGTGTCACCTAGGAGACTATTCCCATCAGTAAAGTGCCGTGTTTTTGGAGGCAAGGGCTGGCGGGTGTTCCTGCTTCTGATGGTTTCACACCCACCGAACGAAGGGGTGCATTCAGCAAGGATACTCTTTCTCTTTTTTTTATCTAATGGGGCCAGGATCAAATTCTGAAACATGGAGACCAACTTATGGCAGATTATAATAAGGCAGTCTCGGTGTCGGCTGAGAATGAATCAGTAGCAGCAAATGCCAAGAAAGTCGATCAGCACAGCTGAAGGTACCGCAAAGCACACTCATTCTGAATGAAGCCTGCAACAGGGGCAGATAGGCAAGGCTAATCAATAGACGGTGGGTAGTGCACAGTGGCACAGAACGCTCGCAGATACAGATCGGACTCTTGCGATTCAATCGGAATCACGGTAGTGAACGGCACTGAATGGAACTATCTGTCTTGCGTAAACAGGCCTAGAGCCTAGGTAACAATAGCAATACAACAAACAAAGCCTTGACCTAACAACAAATAATTAAAAATGGAGACCTCAAAGCTCTAGCCCGGCCGGCAATCGGCCGGAAGAAATTGCCCTTGGAAGCTCGACGCTCGCAGTCCACGTTCCGCTCCGAGAAATTGGATCTATCATCGCGATCGGCCTTTGTGCTCGATGAGATAAGCTTACTATACACCGTTGGCCTGCCAGTTTTGACACATGCGACCGAGAGAAAGTCCGATACAGCTCGTTAGACTCAAAATCAGCTGCCTTCTCTTAATACATTATCCTAGTAGACATTTTGCTTACGGATTGCAACGCTCGAGGAAATTTACAGACGGCACATTGGAACATGAAAAGCCGTGAGCTCTCGGCCTTTCTCGGAAAATAAATGCGACCGTAGTGGGCTAAATAAAATTTCCTTGGAGAGTTGGAGTCTTCAGACTTCAGTGTCGTCATCCTGCGGACAGGCGGAAGGGAAAAGAGGGTCAGCAAGGAGGAATAAAGGGGAAATTTTTTTTCTTCTAATTACATCGGGAGCTTGGATGGATAAAGATGGGTAGAATGATGGATTGGAAGGCTAAAAGAGGCAAGGACTGAGAAAGTCTAACCCTGGGCAGCATCCCGCTTGTTCCTCTCGGCCCCGTGCCTTGGAACCGGCCGGTTTATGAAAGCTCAGGAACCAGATGTTCTGCCGATGGTTGTTCCAGAGATCGCCAACCTAGTTCGCTTCTCCTTTGCTCCCTTGAATTCTCGGCAAGCTAAGCAGAGAGCGTAGGTAGATAGCAGGAGCTACTAGCTAGGGATACGAGTCCCGGGGCCCCGTGCTATCTAAGAAAATTAATAGTATTAATATTTCTTATTATTATTGTCATGAGGGTGATTTCGCCAGTCAGCCAGCCAGCCAGCCAGCCGAAAGCTACTTCCAGTCAAAAGTGGGGATGGGCATGATGGCTTAGCCGCGTTATAAAATGGACCCATTGTTTTCATGACTTGGACGGAATCAGCGTTCCTGATCGGTACTAGGCTCGGACGCCAGTTGCGGTCTGATTGCATCATGAGAAAAGCAGACTCAGTCACCTCGATACCATCTCGTGCGGTTTGGAGCTCTCTGCAGAAGCATCTCCACTAGGTCCTGAGAAAGTTGGCAAAAGTAAAAGAGCGAGATGCGAAATCAAGTAAGAGGATAAGAAGAAGCATGTTCCAACCGCCTTACTAGTAGTATCCCTTCGCACAGGGATCCAACGGCACTGGGAGAGGGATGAACATCCTCAATGCTTCTTCCAATTATATGGTGTTCTGGACCAGCAGGTTCTTGTGAAATCTCGGGAAGGGGGGGGGGGGGAAGGAGCTGAAGATCCCTGGTTTGTTTCATTAGGCCAGCACAGGTTCGGGAATCAGATCCCATCCTCACCCATCAAGTCTCTCTGGGTGGGATCGTGCACGCTAGTGGCCCAGCTGCAGCCGCCGAGGTGCAAGGATCGCGGCTCGCCATAATTACCCAAATACACCGCCCGATGGGTAGGTAGTAGTGGACGGGCGGACTACTCCGAACACCATTAATGTAGTGTCTCTGTGCGTGGACAGTAAGCAGCTGAAAACGAAGGATAATTAGGCAGGGTCATAAACTTACCAGGCTGTCTGATCCCTCTACCCAGAACAAGGTAAGTGTTTCATTCCCCAGGTTATATGCATAATTGGATTTCATCCTAAACAACGCACCAGCATACTCCTATGGCTTGGTAGTCCACCACGTCAGTAGGTCCCCTTCTACATAATACCTGCATACTACATAGATGGAGTACATTAGCAATGACTTACATAAATACCCTCGTGTTCCTCCTCATTCTGCATTAGAAGGCGTTTCAGGTTTCCTTGGGAGTTATCGCTGTCCACCTGTGAGTTGGTGCCTTTTAACCTCAGGCTGTCAGAAAACTCTACTTGATTCGGTCTCATATGATTGATGGCTTTATCCTACAGAGTAGCGAAATTTGGGCAACAGCAGTCCCAGATTCCTATGGTGGTTGCACTTGTCTGCCTATGCTGTGGTCCAAACAGGTGTGGGTGGAAGTCTTGCGTAGCATACCAGGTAAATGATGTGTGAAAAATTCAACGGCTTTTGTGTTGGAGGGATTTATCT